CCCCAAAACCCCAAAACCCCAAAACCCCAAAACCCCAAAACCCCATAATTTAAGGGAGGTGTTGAAATTGTAACGAAAATTTTATTTCTTATTGCCATTATCTTTGTCGTATTTGTTCTTGTAATACTCCGCTTGTGACAAAAGTGTCTCTATAATACTATCTTTCTCTTTAATTTTAGCACCTATTTATATTATTTTGGGGATTACTCAGATTAGATATCTGCTGTCTTGCTTCTTCTAGTTGGTATTCTACATTACCAACCACTACCTCATACTCCTCTTGGGCGCTCTGCTGATTAGCATCTTTGGCTTTGCTCATAGAGATCTTTAGCTCTATCAGCTGTGAACGGTACTCTGCGTTCATATAATTGATCTTCTCCAGTTCTTCTTCCTTCTCGTTGATGATGTCCTGCATGGCTTTATCACTAGCATTGGTTTCATTTATACGGCGTTTGAGGAACTCAAATTCGTTCATTAGCTTACTAAATTTATGGGGTAAAGACTTTTCAAAGCCTTACCTGTACATTTCCTCTCGTTTCTCAAGAGTCAATGAGAGAGAATTGATCTTAGAATCTTTCTCTAAGATCAACTCCTTCTGCTGCTGAATTGGAATTGCCTTTGAAAGCTGTTCTTTCAGCTCCTCATTTTCCTTACTATACTGCTTGAGTTCTTCAATTTCTTCAGAAAGTTTAAAGTTATTTTCTAGAAATAAGCAGGAGATTTACCTATGACTTTAAGTAAGGCGTCATCTTTCTCGGTTTCAGAGTTTTTGTCCATGTTCTTTCCGTCAAAGGAATTGGCCCTCTTTTTACCATATTTTGTCCTGAATTTGACCACATCCATCGAATCGATATGATCGGTGAGGATGTTCTCTTTGCCCTTCAAGTTAAGACCAAGGGTTTCGAGTTTTCTAGTATATTTATCCCTAGTCATCTGATCTAAAGGGTCCTCTTCAGGAATTTCTGGAATTTTTATGGAAAGGCCGATATGATCTGACTCTGTAGAGCTAGCAGCTTCAGGAACAGAAGCTATAAACGTCTTACGCCTTTTAGCGCTATAAGTTTGTGTGAATTGACTCTTGGTCTTCTGCTTTATGATTGAACAGAGAGATTCTTCGGAGCTCTCACTGAATGAAGTGTCTTGATTATTCATTTCTAAAGAAGTGAGTCTCTTATCATTACCAACTCCAATATCAAGCTCTTTAACTTTAGTACCTCTCCTTTTATTTCCTCGTTCTATTGTGGTTTTAGTAGATAGTTACCTTCATATTTATTAGATTCATAGATGCCCTCATCTAGCTGCTTTGATATCCTTTGAGGTTTTTTATTCTTGCTATTTGCTGAGATATTTCTTAAAATTTAATCTATCTGACTCTCTAGGACAAGATTAGAATCTGTCCGCAATTAATGGGTTTCATTATTTCTTGAAACTGATGTAAAGGAAAATGCAAAAGCATACTTATAATTTTGAATGATTGATTTCAGCATTATTATTTCCTTTTCAAGTCTATTTATCTTCTTTGTTTGTCTCTGCTCTTTATTTGATCATCCTGAGATAGTTTGCATAGTATTCATCGTACTCATCGATATGATACCTATAAGAAAATTGATTCCATACATAAAGTGAAATCATCTTCATAAAAATACTATACCTAGTTCATTTTCACTCTTGTGGCACATTCCCTTCATCTCTATCTTCACCTGCACCTTTGGTCTCTACCATTCCGAACCCTATATCCCTTAAGCTTCCCTAAAACTCTCTCAGCCAACACCTCGCTTAATCCACTAAAACACCCAAAATTCAACTCAAACAACTTCTTTTTTCAGTATTCGAAAAGCCACCAAGCCCATACACCCTTGTACCTTTCTCAAACATTCTTGTTCTAGGCGTTACCTTCCCTTCCATTATCCTTAAATAATTTTAATTCTTGGGGTTTTGGGGTTTTGGGGTTTTGGGGTTTTGGGG